AGTAATATATGCATATGATGCATGTCATACATTCATAATTTCATTGACTCGACATTTAACTTATTACAGAATTTCATTTAGTACATCATGTCATCATTTTTCATGTTCTTATAATCATAGCTTGTCTCAATAGTCCATTTTTATGTCTCATGTCATTGGTATATATTTCACATGGTCAAGTCATAAATACTTCTCATAAAGTCTGCACAGGAATTCACAGAGAACATTCTTATTTATATTAAAACTTATTTATTTTTAACATTAATTACGTATTCATTTATTATTTCCAACAAGGAACAAAGTAAAGCAAACAGAAAGTAAAACAAAACAACAGGCAAGGGATTGGGGGCCAATCCGACAATCAAACTATCCAACAATTATCCCCACACCCACGAGCGAGGTTCCTCACTCCCCCCTTACCTGGATAAGCAGGAGCTAGAACTTGGGCAGGACCTCCTCCTCTGGATTCCCTCTTTCTTTCCCTTTCTTTCTCTTTCTTTCTTTCTTTCTTTCTCTCTCTCTCTCCCTCTCTCTCTCTCCCTTTCTCTCTCTAAAATTTTCACCTTCTCAGTCAGTATAATTTTTTTCACCCCCTCCCTCCTATTTATAGGCATCCAGGGGTTCCCGGAACGGCCCGTACTGAATCTGGAACGGCTCATTCCGGAGCCTTCGATCATATACAAAAATTGCAACTGGAACGGCCCATTCTAAAATCAGAACGGCCCGTTTCCAAAAAGCAGAACGGCCCGTTCTAAAATTAGAACGGCCCGTTCTAAAATTAGAACGGCCCGTTCTGGAGTTCACTTTTACACAGATTGACCACAAGGAGAACGACCCATTTCCAACTTAGCTTTTTAAACATTTTTCTTACTAATTTCCTCACAAAATGCGTCACTATTAGCGACGCTATTTTGTCAGTCACAAAATTCGTCACAAATATTAATTTTTCTAGTAGTGCGATCTCCGGTAAGAACAAGTTATAAATTTTTTTCCTTTTTTTATTTTCTAAAGTTTGAAATTACTATTTTTAGTCCTTCAAGTTTTTTTTGTTATGGTTGTAAAATATCTTTTGATTTTTATATCCATCCAGAGTATGAAATTCCTAATTGTAGTTTTTAATGTTCATTTTAAAGTAGAAGAGTAACATTATTTTTTTTTAGATTTAGAATTTTTTTTAGGAATGTCATATGTTAATATAGTACCATAAATGTTGCTGAATGTCACTTAGGATGATTAATTGACTTCAATTAAACTAAGTGTCAGAAGATAGTATGAACTAAAAATAATGTATTTTAGCTTTTTGAGAGAAAATATCCGAAGAAAAAATCTCTAAGGATTAAAATCTAATTTTTTTCATCTCATAAGGTCATAGAAATAAATTCTTTTAACAATCATATTATGAAGTATCTATTAACTTTTTTAATAACTAATTTTTTTCTTCAACTAAAGACTTGTTGACTAAAAAAATATTTGTGCCTTTAAAACCTACATCAAAGAACAAGTGGAATGTAATGTTAGAGTGTAAATAAACTCTCACATTATTAAATTAAGAGGAAGAATATGAATTTATAAGCACACAAAAAAATTTAAAGTCTTTTGGAGTGATGAATAAAAGAAAATTTATAAAAATTTAAATATAAAATAGATAATATTATATTAATATATGAAGACATATGTATATGTGAATCAAGTACGAAACATGCAAAAGGAAAGAAAATATTGAAAGAAGGAAAACTTCAAACCACATATTCCAAAATGTTTAATAGCCAAAATGTTTAATAGCCAAAGATTGTGAATGAAAAAAAGTATAACTCACCTAAAAGTAACATCATTTTAAATAACTATCTGTTTATTCCATACAGTTTTTATAATTGCATGAAAAAATATTTTAAAATATATACACATGATAAAAAAACTATTTCTTTTCTCCATTTTAAAATAAGGGTGATTTTTAACTATTAAATAAAAACTCATATTAAGTGCTGATTTAGGTTTTTAATGAAGTATTATTTTTTTAGCCAAATAAATAATTAATGTGATGAAATCAGTCTTGAGATAGAATAAATAAGAAAGATAATTTAGTAAAATTATTCTTCTCATTAAGTTATTATTTTTCTTAATCATTCTAAACAATCTTAGATGTCACTTATTTTGAAAAAGATAGAGTAAATAAGAGATTAAAAATTATATATAATATTAAATACCATGTCAATTCTTTGGTATTTAATTAAATAATGAGATTAATAGGTTAAACGTGCAAATATTTGATTTTCGATTTTTATTCTTACACGTGTCACGTATTATTTGGAGATTTTGCAAGAGACAAATAGAAAGTGTTTGATTATTTAATATAATATTGATTTATGTAATTAGAGAATGACCTTTCACAAATTAAAAGATGTTTAATGTGATGATTAATAGACTTAAAATATATCAAGAGTTATTAAAAATTATTTTAAAATTATTAAAATTAATTTTCTTACTTCTCATTTTATTAAAGGTAATTTTGGCATTAAATTTTTTTTTTTTTTTTTGAAAAGAGATATTACGAAAGTTAGAGTTGATTTGTATTAAAGCATAAAGGTCTTTTTATACATCTCCAGAAAACTTGATTTCATGTAAGTGATCGTAGAAATAAAGAAAATGCGCTAAGAACTAATTAAAACGGTTTCAACCCCGTCATACAAACTAAGTAAAGGAAGTAAGCAAAGAAAGAACTACTTACTAGAAAATTCTGAATACATTATGGATCTAGATATGTTTTCTAAACTTTCTTATAGAAATTACAGAGTATGATAATAGTAAGAAATATGTTTTCTATGATCCTTATAGTGTAATTTTCTTGTATGATGAACTCTATGTATGAAATTACATATGATCATAAAATTTACTAACATTTGGTATCAAAGAAGGTTAAGGATAATATATTTCTCTATTAGATATATTCTTTTACTCTTTGAATGTTATTCTCCTTTATTTGCAAATGTCCCGAGTGAAATTCTTTTAATAAGAATTGCATAAAATTGATAATTTCTTTATGTACAATTGGTGTATCTATATGAAGGATAGTGGAAGCAAATTTTGTAATTTTAGTTTTATATGTTGATAAAATTTTGCTTGTTGCTAATGATGTTGCTATGTTACATGATGTAAATAAATATCTCTCCAATAACTTTGAAATGAAAGATATGGGTGAGACATCTTATGTGATAAGGATAGAAAAATTCTATGATAGGTCACAAGGATTCTTCAAATTGTCATAGAAAAGATATATCAATAAGGTTTTAAGGAGATTCATGATGGAAAATTATTCTGTAGAAATTATTCCAATTTAGAAAGGGGGATAAGTTGAGTCAAATGCAATGTTCTAGAAATGACATGGAAGAAAAGGAAATGGAGTCTATCCCTTATGCATCAGTTGTTGGGAGCTTGATGTATTCCCACACATGTACTAGGCTAGATATTAGCTTTGTTATAGAAATGTTGGGCCAATTTCAAAGCAACCTTGGAATAAATCATTGGAAAGTTGCAAAGAAAGATTTTAGGCATTTACAAGGCACAAAATATTACATGCTCACATATAGGAGGTTAGATTATCTTGAAGTGGTGGACTATTTGGATTTAGACTATACTAGATGCATAGGCTTAAGGAAGTCTTCATTTGAGTACATCTTTCTTTTGGTTGGAGGAGCAATATCATGGAAAAGTGTAAAACAATCTATGATTGCTACTTCTACCATGGAGGCTAAGTTTGTAGCATTTGAGCCCACAATTCAAGCATTATGGTCGCAAAAATTTACTTTAGGATTTGGTATTATCAATAATAAAGCCAGATCATCAAAGATTTATTGTGATAACTCTACGATTTTCTTCTTTTATATGAATGACAACACATGAATTTAAAGTTTTTGTTAGTTAAAAAAGTAGTGCAAAAACATAAAGTGTCTATTAAGCATATTGGTACAAAAGTAATGATAACAGATTCATTGGCTAGAGGTTTATCACCCAAGACATTCATTGGCCATGTTGAAATGATGGGTGTTATGGATAAGTTTTTGTTAACGATGTAGCGTGATGTGTATGTATACATGCATTATAGTTATAATACTCGTATTGTATGACAATTGTGGATTCAATTATAATTGTTTTTGTTTATCTTGTCATTCACTTTATATGGTATACATTATTATTTTAGTGAGATGATAAAATATGTCTTAGAAAGGATAATAAAGACACATGTTACAATATTAATTAATGTTGAGTTAAATTAAATGATTTGTGATACATGAAAGGAATCAAGTTGTTAAGGTAACTTGCAATTGCCATGATTCAATCATTTTAATTTAATTAGAGATGACAACTTCTTGTAATTTTAACGTATGGTGTGCACTTATGATTTAATGTTGAATCTTGAAGTCGTTACATGAACCAAGTGAGAGAATATTAGATTATTTAATCTAATATTGACTCATGTAATTAGACAATGGCTTAACCAAAAGATGTATAATGTGATGGTCGTTAAATTTAAAATATCTTAAAAGTTATTGAAGATTATTTTTAAGTTATTAATTAAAATTGATTCCCTCCCTTTTCACTTCATTAAAAGTAATTTTGACATTAAGATAAAAGAATTTGAAAAGAGAGGTTACCAAATTTTGAGTAGATTAGCCTCGTCTCTTTTTTTTTTTTTCCTCTAGAGTTATTTTTACACATTTTTAGAAACTAATTAAAGAGACTTCTATACCATTATATAGACTAAGTAAAGAAAATAATTAAGAAAAAGAATAGCTACTTACTAAAAAATTATAAATGTATTATAAATTTGAATATGTCTTATAGACTTTTATTTATTTATTTATTTATAATTTTTTTTATATAAATTACATAGTATGTTAATAGTAAGAATTATATTATCCAAAATACCTAAAGTGTAATTTTTTTTTACGATGAACACAATATATGAAAAAGAGCATGGGAAAGAGAAATTGAGGAGACAAGAGTAATATGGAAATCAACCATATAGTTTAATACTTAAAAGGAGTACAATATTTTGTTTTTATCTAAATTAAAAAGGTAGGAGGCGTGCACCCACAATAAACAAATTGAGAAAAAGAGCAAAATAATTGAAATGCATATATTTCTAACCAGTTGACCAGAAACCGGCCAACGAATCCGATGACGCCCTATGTTATTCTTCTCTACTTTTCCATATTACGAACTCGAACAAGCTTTGGAGGCTCTCCGTTCTTGATGTCATACATGACCTAGGTATATGGAGCAGGCTTTGGCAGGCCCTTCACAGCGCCACAGATCAATGCATTCTCGGGAATGTTGTACTCATCCCTCAGAGAACGTTCAGGAGTGGGAACACTGATGTAGAGTTGCTGTCCCAGGTAGCGATTCTCAGCCAGCTCAGACCTCAAGTTCCAAACTCCAACGTTGTCGAATGTCAGCATGATAGCAGCCCACGATTTTGGGAACACGGGAATGGTGTGTCTGCTCACACCATCGAGAAGGTTGTAGTTCTTCCTCTTCTCTGGAGTCCAAGTCCCAGGCTCAATCCTGTTATATATTCAACAAAAGGTTATATACTTATATTATATGCATGGAATGGAACATGGATATTAAATTATGAATTAATACTCACGCGACAGCGAAGAAGGAGTAACCGTTGAGATTGTAGGACTGGACGCTCTT